TAGTAGCTGTAGTTGTAGTTGTAGTTGTAGTTGTAGTTGTAGTTGTAGTAGTAGTAGTAGTAGTAGTAGTAGTACTACTACTACTACTACTACTACTACTACTACTACTACTACTAGTAGCAGTAGTAGTAGTAGAAGAAGCAGAAGTCGGAGTCGTCCCCTATTTTATGAAACTTGCATATCTTTGAGCAGTCAAGCCTAGCGACGCTTTGCCCTGGCACAGTCGAAGCCCCAACTGGCCAAGCGGGCAACAGCAGTGGCGGCAGCTTGGGCTGGCGATGCCACAGCCGATTCGCCCGGCTTGTGTTCATGAGGCGGGCTTTAAGAAAGGCAGAGCTTTGGAGAACTATTTGCTTCAATGAAGGCGACTTGCCATTGCCTGTGTAGACATTGCTTCCATAACCTGGAACTTCCTGTCATACTCATCCTGCATGTCAGGCTTTCGTGTTGACACCACTGCAGACGAAGCTGCGGGGATCTTCATAGCTTTCCTTACAGTAAACCATCACGAATCCCAAGCTATTTTTGTGATATGCAGTCGGGAAGACGCAGGTCGCAGGACGGGTTTTGCTAAAGCCCAAAGGTTGTGCAAGAAATCGACAAGCCGACTGTCGTCGTCGGTGTTGCCGCCTAAAGCATCCTCGCTGCCATGACCAGTCCCGAAAAGCTGTTGAGCACACTTATCTTGTCAACATCACTATGTTGTTAATTCCTGAGGGCATAGAGCGTGCGTAGGCTGATTTGATGCTCAGTCCAAAAGCCAGAGAATCCCATGCCCCCCGTTTGGGATTGTACTTTGAATAACTACGAAGCGAAGCCAAATAGCCTTTATTGAGGTGTCCTAAATCCTAAACCCGCGGCTGAACCTCGCCTGGCTCGCCCGAGTCGTGAGCTTAGAAGATCAAAACTTGGAGGCCTCCAGGAGCATCGACGAGGCGCTTCACACGAAGCCAGTTTTCCTCGCTGCGAGTCTTCTCGCGATTCCAGCTCAGGGGGCCCGCAAGGCTCATGAGGGTTTGGGACAGTTCAGGGTTTCGGGCAAAGGAACTTCAAGAGTTTAACACAAATTACTGGGGACCCCTCCCAGCTAGAAGAGAACCATACTGCCATACAGCAAGCTAGCATGGCAAAGCCATTCCTTAGTGTTCCCTTCACAAACGGCCTAGTGTTAGCATCCATCTTAAGCTTTTCCATCAGCCTTGCTTTGACCATCTTGGTGGACTTGGCCCTTCTCTCAGCATAGGGCTAATCGAATTCTCTATGATACATGCACCGGACGATTGTCATCGAAGTTTTGGTGGGGACGTTTTTCGTTGTTTCCCTCGTGGCCTTGCGAGACCTGTGACTGACGAGCAGTGGTTCCACGGTGCACGGGCTTCCTCAAACTCGGGCCTTTGGCATGGCAGATTGTGGCCAAGCGTGTACGCCGCACTTCTTTTATGCGCATCTACACCTCACGTCTTTGCACGAGGCCAAGACAATGACACGCACGAGAGGAGCCAAACGTGCCCCGGTTTTGAGGGATAGCGAGTCCTTCCCCGAACCAATAGGGTTCACATAGGAGTCCGACCACACGTGTCACGAGTGTGCCCCAGAGTGCTGGGGACACACTTTGGGACTCATTCCCAGGAGCACTTCTGAATATAGGGTTTAGGGTTTAGGGTTTAGGGTTTAGGCTTGGCTTTCAAAGCTTTTAGCTTGTTGGGCTTCGGGTTTTCAGGGGTCTTTTGTTGAAGCTGCTCATGTACAGATCCCGAGTGGCAGAATTCAATACCCGAGGAAGATGGTGTCACCTCTTTCCCTGCATTTTTGCTTTTCGCCCTCCAGGTCACAGCCGAAAGAGCTGTGCGAATTTTGTCCTTAGCAGCTTAGATACTCAAGCACTCTGGAGGAGACTGCAGACCGGGAAGGCTGTTGAACTCCTGAGGCGGAAGGAGGGCCTATGATAGTTCAGTCTTATTGAGGGAGTGTGACATGAGCCGTGGTAAGAAGTTAGGTTGCTAGGTGAGCGGCAGGGAACCACACGAGGTTCGATATACCTGACGACAACTGCCGAATGTTTGTTGAAGTTCTGCCGACGTCGAAATAATGACAAGGGTTGCTTGACCACAACCGCCAGCACCGCCGCTTCCGCTGCCACCGCCACCGCCACCATCACCACCACCGCCACCCGACCACCACCACCACCACCACCAACAACAACAAACAACAACAACACAAGCACAAGCAGCATAAGCACGACCACGCGACCACGACATCATCATCATCATCAACAACAGCAGCGGCAACAACAGGCAACATCAGCAGCAACAGCAGCCACAGCAACACCACAACATCAGTGTGCCAATTGCTGCGGACGAGCCGTCCGTGTGTAGAAAGCATTGGTGTGCGAACTGCTCCAGGCGTGCCGCGCAAGCAAGACATCGGTGTGTAATCATAGCAGCACGAGCTACACCCTCGCAGTGCAAGGAGACTCAGGAGCAGGAAGCACGGGCAGCACCGTCGGATACGGTTTCTCGAGATGTGGTTTGTAAACTGATTCGCACGCCCCCCTGCCTGCAGTCGGCCCGCACAAGACGGCTTGAGTCGGCTAGGCATTCCATGTATCCGACTTCTACCTCGCGCCGTGCTTCCGATGTTCATCATGTCAGTGAGCACGAGACATCTACTTAACAAGGTGGCACCCGCAATATATATATATATATATACATATGTATATATATATATATATAGTTTCTCAATTTGTCACTGTGTCTTCATCCTTGCCTTGTCGGGATGAGGTTTGGATGCATAGCTACAGAGTGCCGGGGAGAGATGAGCCGGGAAGGCTTCGGCGCGTGCGGGAGTGGCTAACATCATCCGCGAAGCAAGGGTTTTAGGGTTTAGGGTAACAGTACGGCAGAACATGAAGAGATGTTAAGTCTGGGGAAGACATCGTTCAGTTAATCCTCTCACCGGCTTGCGCCGGCAAGAACCCTGACACTACAGCTACTCACTAGTCAGAGTAGTGTGCGTATCCAAAGGGTCCAAGAACCATTATTAGGTACTTAGGAGGTATTTGGGCCCNNNNACTAGTACTTGGACCCTTTGGGGTATGTGCCTGCGCAGGATCTTCCCGCCGGGCAACCCTAACCACTTAAACCTTGAAGCCTAACGGTTTAGGGTTTAGGGGGCCTAACGCCGTGATTCCAGAACGGTCCATAATGATCCGCCGACCCTCGCACGAGCTGAAGTGATAGTGCAAAGTGCTATAGGTGGTGTGAAGCCCCTCGCCTCCCGCAGCAGACGGGCGCCAAAATCAGCCTTCGTAGCTTCTTCTCAGAGATCCGTGAGCGGCAGATGCTTTCTTGCTTTCGAGCCAGGCCGCATGGTCCTTGCAGGAGAAGCAGATGGAAGAGGACATGGTATGAAACTGTGTCGCCATGTGAGTAGGAGTTCTCACAGCGGTCGCGCTGAAATTAAATCATAGCATGTAGATTCTGGATCTAAACTTCTAAATGTACATATAGTACAGATCAATAATACCGATCAAAATACCAAAGGATTACATACATATACAGATACGGGTGGATACATAACTCATACATACATGCCTACATACATACAGTTCTACATCCACATTTGTACACATGCACTCCTGTATGGAGCCAGTAGTTCTTGGAAACGAAGCTGACGCTAGTGGGTTCCGCATTTGGAGCTTCGAGAACACGAAGAGGATGCTTCTTCATATACCTGCACATGTGTGCCTCTCGGTTTGTGCTGAATTCGCTTGCCGGCCACGAAACCCCGGAACCGGTTGGTAACATGTAACCCTAAACTCTAATTTCGCAGCAATCTGTGGCCGAAGCCATCCTCCTAGTCCTGGCAGCAGAGCCACGTAGGAAGGGCCAATTAATAGGAACTCACTTCTTGATCCTCAGCATGCGGTCCACCATCATCACCATCATCATCATTACAATCACCAAAAAGAATCCCCGAAGAGGAGTAGCATCTTGGCTGTCTTCAACAACCCAGCACCACAGCACCACTGTCCTCCTCCAGTATCACCAGCTCGCGTCGCAGCCAGCCTCGTCACAACTTCTGCAACAACCGCCACCACTAGCATCATTTCCAGCTGTGCCATTGCGGAAAGAAATCGGAACAGAGAGAGTGATGGCTACAATTATGCTTCAATTGAGGCCTATTTCGCCAAGCAATACCATGCCGGACTAAGTAGCCCCTTGAAGATCTTATACTAGATTTGCAAAAAGCCGTACTTGGCACAGTGCTCCCAGAAAGCTTCGTCTTGATATCGGCACATGTGTGTATGTATGTATATATATATATACGCACATAAAAAAAAATATATATATATATATAGATACATATATATATATATATATATGCAACACACATATACACCAACATTCCTTGCAGGCCTTGGGCCAAAGCGGGTACGGACCTCCCCTGAAGTGATTGCGGGCTTCGTAACGGTTGACGTTTGATTGGGCTCAAGCTTTCTGGCACGAGAAAGCCGGCAACGTAAGTCCGGTGCAAAACTGGGCTTGCCTTGCGGATCCATGAACTATTGGTATTCATGTGTTTCTCGCAAACGCACGAGGCCTGGGCCTAAACCCAGTAGCAGTACTATCACTATCGGCCTTTCAGTCGGTACAATCACCCCAGAACGTTGAACAACCCACGTGCTGAGACAGCTGGTCTCTCTCGTTGTAGCCCTACCGAGTAGCCTTCGTAGTCACATTTATTTAAGCAGTATAGTCTGCTTCTTGCAGTAGCCCTTATACTGATCATCCTTTTTTCAGCATGGCCTGGAAAGCCAGGGATGCCACGGAAGCTCGGCTCGATTATGAGGCGGACTGCACAATCTAGATACCCGAAGCTGTTCAAAGCAAGACCTGGTCCGTAGTATAAGAGGCTTAAGGGTTGAAGTTAGGTCGTGGGGTAACTGATAGTTTAATTTTCTACAGTATCAAAGGACAATACAAGACATACGTTTTCGAGAATCCTCAGAGCAGAAGGTTCTTGTGGTCGATGTCGGCGAGTCGATGCAGGAGACCTTTGCCGAAGCAAGCGATGGCAACAAGGCACAGGAGGATAAAGACTCCTCAAACTTAAGGTCACATTATTTCTCGGCTGCCAATAAAGGCAGAAGGGCCCTCCTATTTTCAGTATAGTAAGTAGGGTACCTGATTTTTCTGATACAAGCCAGTCCTTGAATTGATGTACTGATAAGCTGTTATCCAACGCTGCTGGCTCGCATAGCTGTATCGGAACCGGGCGTTTTCGTCAGGCTTCCCCTAGTTCACAAACAAA